ATTCAATGCAATTCCTATCAAATTACCAATGGCATTTTTCACAGAACTAGAAAAAAAATTCTAAAGTTTAAACGGAAACACAAAAGACCCCAAATAGATAAAGCAATCCTGAGAAAGAAAATTGGAGCTGGAGGAAATCAGACTCCCTGACTTCAGACTATACTACAAAGCTACAGTAATCAAAACAGTATGGTACTGGTACAAAAACAGAAATATAGATCTATGGAACGGGACAGAAAGCCCAGAAATAAATTCACGCACCTGTGGTCAACTAATCTATGACAAAGGAGGCAAGAATATACAATGGAGAAAAGACAGCCTCTTCAATAAGTGGTGCTGGGAAAACTGGACAGCTACATGTAAAAAAATGAAATTAGAACACTCCCTAACACCATACACAAAAATAAACTCGAAATGGATCAAAGACCTAAATGTAAGGCCAACACTATGAAACTCTTAGAGGAAAACATAAGCAGAACACTCTTTGACATAAATCACAGCAATATCTTTTTTGATCCACCTCCTAGAGTAATGAAAATAAAAATAAACATATGGACCTAATTAAACTTAAAAACTTCCACACAGCAAAGGAAACCATAAACAAACAAAAAGACAACCCTCAGAATGGGAGAAAATATGTGCAAGCAACTGACTAGGGATTAATCTCCAAAATATACAAACAGCTCATGCAGCTCTATGTCAAAAAAACCAACAACCCAATCCAAAAATGGGCAGAAGATCTAAATAGACATTTCTCCAAAGAAGACATACAGATGGCCAAAAAGCACATGAAAAGATGCTCAACATCACTAATTATTAGAAAAATGCAAACCAAAATTACAATGAGGTATCACCTCACACTGGTCAGAATGGCCATCATCGAAAAGTCTACAAACAATAAATATTGGAGAGGGTGTGGAGAAAAGGAAACCCTCCTACACTGTTGGTGGGAATGTAAATTGGTACAACATTATGGAGAACAGTATGGAGGTTCCTTAAAAAACTAAAAATAGAACTACCATATGATCCAGCAGTCCCACTCTTGGGCATATATATGGAGAAAACCATAATTTGAAAAGATACACCCCAATGTTCATAGCAGCTCTATTTACAAAAGCCAAGACATGGAAGCAACCCAAATGTCCATCTACAGATGAATGGATAAAGATGTGGTATATATATACAATGGAATATTACTCAGCCATAAAAAAGTGAAAAATGCCATTTGCAGCAACATGGATGGACCCAGAGATTATCATGCTAAGTGAAGTAAGTCAGGTGGAGAAAGACAAATATCATATGATATCGCTTACATGAGGAAACTAAAAAAATGAACTTATTTACAAAACAGAAATAGAGTCACAGATGTAGAAAACAAACTTATGGTTACCAGGGAGGAGGGGAGGAGGGATAAATTAGGAGATTGGGATTGACATATACACACTACTATATATAAAACAGATAAATAATAAGGACCTACTGTATAGCACAGGGAACTCTACTCAATACTCTGTAATGACCTATATGGGAAAAGAAGCTAAAAAAAGAGTGAATAGGGACTTCCCTGGTGATCCAGGGGTTAAGACTCCATGCTCCCAATGCAGGGGGCCCAGGTTCGATCCCTGGTCAGGGAACTAGATCCCGCATGCCGCAACAAAGATCCCACAAGCAGCAACGAAGATCCCCCATGCCGCAACTAAGACCCGGTGCAGACAAATAAATAAATAAGTATTTAAATGTTAAAAAAATAAAAAAGAGTGGATATATGTATAACTGATTCACTTTGCTGTACAGCAGAAACTAACACAACACTGTAAATCAACTATACTCTAATAAAAATAAAAATAAAGTAACTATCTATAACAATTTGGAAATTATAAAAGAAAAAGAAACCTGGTGCTTCACCATAGAGAGTTTGAGAAGCACTGCTCTATGTGTTTCCCTTTCATCAAAACCAGTGCCAATGCCCAAGAGCACCTATTAGAGAGGAAATGAATATAGGCTGGAGGGGGAGAGGTCAGCTGCTCCCACATCAGGAGACAGCCTGCGACCCATGTGGCCACAGGTTCTGCATTGAGTTTTGGCTTCAGGAACTGCTGCTTAGTCTGATTTAAAATAAAGTAGCATAGTACCATCTCACAGATTTCTGCTGTTTCAAACACTATGCTCTAAAATTGGATAAAATCTAGGTAATAAAGCCCCATACATTGCCCAAATGAAGTCTGTAAGTCATCACTTGAGAATTAAAACCTGGACATACATATTATTTGAGAAAGAAAGAAAAAAAAACAAAAAACAATAACCTAAAGGCCCAACAAGAGTAAACAGCTAAGCAAAGCAATCAATACCTGGTACAGCAGCTGGATTGAATACCATCAGGTAGACAGCAAACTGAACAGGATGAAAACTACACAGAAACTTAGAAATGTGTGCAAAATAATACGTGTCTATTAATTGTAGCAATGTTTATAATGGTAAAAAAAATAGAAAACGTATATTAAACAAAGGCCCATCAATAGAGAAAAGGCTGAACGATGTAGACAATGCCCTTGCTTCAAAGACTGAATTAGATCTCTCCTCACTGTCCTGAAGGGATTTCACAGCATTCTGAAAAGGAAAAAAGCAAGATGCAAAGAAGTATTTGTATGTAGTGTCCCAAGTTTTTTAAATGGGGGAAAAAAGGTCTGTGTATATACCGGAGGTGAGGTATTATTTTAAATGATTATTAGAGGATGGAAGAAGGTATAAAGGCTACCCTCTGGTTGTTAAGATTAGCTACTTGGTGTCTGGGTGGAAGGATCAAGAAAAAATGGGATCAAAGCAAGCCTCCTTCAAAGCTTCCATAACTTTTAATACAAGATGCTATGTTGTTTATGTAAAATTTTATATATGAGCATATGTGTACATATCTGTCTCTATCTCTCTATCAAGAGCTGTTAAAGAACAGTCACCGAAGATATGGTGGTTATCTAGGGCGGAGAGGGGGGATTCCTAGTGATTTTTATTTTCTTCTTTGTATGTTTTTCTTTTGTTTGAATGTTTACAATAACCAGGTATTATTTACATAATAAGAAAAAAAACAGCAAAGCTACAACATACATACATCTTAGATGCTTTCCTCATTTCCCACCTCTAACCCATATATTTCCCTCAAGTCAGGTCCCTTCCTCCCAGGCCCCTCCACACCAACTTAGTTCTGGCTCTCATTGTTCCTAATAACTCCTGTTAGGCCCCTTGCCTCAGTCTCTCCCCTCTCCAGTCAGTCCTCCGCACGGAAGCCAGAGTGACCTTTCAAGAATGCCTATCTGGGGCTTCCCTGGTGGCACAGTGGTTGAGAGTCCGCCTGCCACGGTCCGGGAAGATCCCACATGCCGCAGAGCGGCTGGGCCCGTGAGCCATGGCTGCTGGGCCTGCACGTCCGGAGCCTGTGCTCCGCAACGGGAGAGGCCACAACAGTGAGAGGCCCGCGTACCACAAAAAAAAAAAAAAAAAAAAAGAATGCCTATCTGTCCATGATACTTCCCTGCCTGACCCTCTTCTAGGGCTGCTCAATTCCCCAGGCAACAATTCTCAACAGGAGTTACACTCAGTAATCTTCAACACTGCATTTTACAACCTTGTCCACCTCCCCCTGCTCTTCCACTGCATGACTTGCAGCTCCTGGCTTACCCCCGTCCTTTCATTCTTCCCTGCCTACCCCTCCCACCTGCCCATCAACTCATTCAACACCCAAACATCGTTCCCTTCTGCAACCACTTCAGCACTTCTCCTCCTGTCTTCCCAGAGTACTCAGTGCTCTGTACACACTTTGTGATAGCACTGAGATCATTCTTTTTAGCGAATTTGTTTTCTCTCTCTCTCTATGAGCCATGGGAGGGCAGGAATACATATATCCTCAACATCTTTAGTGAATGAATGAATGAAATGAATGAATAAATGAACTTGTAAAAGCAGAACCCAAAATAGTAAATATAAATGCATGTTAACCATGTAAAAGGTCCGTATAAACACTGAAAAGGGGCTGAAAGTCCAGTTATAAAATACATCAGTCATGGGGATATAATGTACATCATGGTGACGATAGTTAATAATGCTGTATTGCATATTTGAAAGTTGCTAAGAAAGCAGATCTTAAAAGTTCTCATCACAAGAAAAAGTTTTGTTAACTATGTATGGTGATGGGTGTTGACTTATTGTGATCATTTCTCAATATACACAAAATTCAAATCATCTGGGACTTCACTGGTGGCGCAGTGGTTAAGAGTCCACCTGCCAACACAGGGGACACGGGTTCGAGCCCTGGTCTGCAAAGATCCCACATGCCACGGAGCAACTAAGCCCGTGCACCACAACGACTGAGCCTGTGCTCTAGAACCCGCGAGCCACAACTACTGGAGCCCGTGTGCCACAACTACTGAAGCCTGCGTGCCTAGAGCCCGTGCTCCGCGGCAAGGGAAGCCACCACAATGAGAAGCTGCGCACCGCAAAAAAGAGTAGCCCTCACTCATCGCAACTAGAGAAAGCCCGCGCGCAGCAACGAAGACCCAACGCAGCCAAAAATAAATAAATAAAAATAAATTTATAAAAAAATTCAAATCATTTATGTTGTATACCTGAAACTAATAGTGTTCTATGTCGATTACATTACAATGAAATAAATTAAAATGTCAAAAAAAGAAAAAAGGATGAGAGGTAAACATTTTGAAGTTCGTTTTTTCCTTTTCCAGTACAGTGGTTTCAGCTACTTTTTAAATTACTACCAGTAATTCACCCGACAAATAATTTATATTCAAATTACCAAAAGTTAACTACAGTTTAAATGCCTATAAAATGAAACAGAAAAGTCCGAAAGAAAGCCATTTTCCCCTTTTTAAATAAAATAAGAAATTCAGAAAAAAAAAAAAAAAAAAGAAAGAAATTCAGTACTCCTCAACACCATGCCAGCTCTAAAAACAGCATCTCTCCCCCATAAAACATGGCCCAGCTGTGTGGTTACTTACTGGAGTTGAGGAGGATCATGGCCTTGACACAGAGATATTCTTTGTGTTGGAGTTTTAACTCGCGAAACCTTGAAGTCGTTGCCAGGAGCATGTCAAAGATTTCCAGAATTCCTTCCACACATTTTCCTTCATCCCTACAAAAGTCCATTTAGAAATGTAAGGAACATACAGCTTCCGGTAACCATCGAAAGCAATAAGGAGTCTTTTCTTTTTAATCTCAAGTTTCATCTTGTACACCCTTTAACTATAACAAGATAGTAATGAGACCACACCCAGAAATGTGAAATTACTAGAATTATTTTTATATAAGGAAGACAGGGCATTTCCTAGAAGTCCATAAAGCAAATATTTGAATATATACTCTTTAGGCAACAGTGTGCCCCGGAAGTACATTTTCCTCCTACCTATTCACCAAATGTTTTCTTAAAGGAATACCATTTCTGTTCATTATTTTTGATCTAAACTATGTCAGCCAACCAGCCCTCAATATGACACATATTACTAAAATGATACAGTCCATGTTCTCATCAAAAAACTCTGAAGTATTAATGAGGAAAGATTGAACATTACAGAAGCAAATATCCCAAGAAGAAATATTACTTTATATCTAGGGCTTAACTCTCACATCCTGGTGGTCAACTAGAAACTGGTGGAGCAACTAAGAGACATTTAAATGCAGTTTGAAGAAAAGCTAATATGACATACAAAGAAATCACAATTACAGAAGATGGATTAGAATCAGGAAAGGAAGGTAGAAATGGAGACATGGTAATTTTGATGTGCTACAGATTATTTTTAAGCAAAAGTTTTAGACAAACTTTGGACTATGTAATCGAGATTCTTTTGAGCACTCCTTACGGAAATGAATGTTTAAGCACACTTTTGAAGTAAATTACTTGAACTGTACCTAGAAAATACCAGCTTCAATTCACTCCAGCCAGACACACATTATTCCACCTCACTGCTCCCAAAACAACTTCCATTATCATCAGTCATAGAGCTACTGGAAGTCCTTGACAAGCAAGCAGTTAAATGATTTCGCCACGAAACATTCCTTTGCTTCTAAAAGCCTGCAGTACACAGCAAAGGGCAGCTATGGTGGCCATGAGTTTCTGCAAGTTTCATTTTCAGTCTGTAGCAGCCCCTGAAGGGGACCTGAGATCTTCAAAGAACACTGGCTGGTCCCTCCTCCTTCTCCCAACCCCAAGCCAGGACATTTCCAGTGATGGTAGTAGTTGGAGAAAGGGCCTCTGTAGAGTTCAAATGAACTGGCACCAGTGGGTACTACCAATCCTGCTAAAGCCTTTCCTATTTGGTGCTATGCTTGGATGCCCGCTTACCAGGAACCTGCAGTCCACAGCGTTCACACCCCCGCGAGCTCACTACACAAAGCTACAAGTATGCAAACTGTGCACACTGGCAAACAAGCGCGGTAACTTTGGAAACCAGTTTAGGCTTCCTGAAAGCGCACAGGTTAAGTGATAAAATGTCAGTGCCCCCTAGAAGTCACTCCTAAGGGAAAGGCCACTTTGGAGAATCAGAGCCCACCCTTTGGCAAAGGGTGCCAAAATCTATAGGAAAAGCCCAGCCCTCCATATGCCATCCGCCCACCTCCCCTGCTCTGGGCTTTCCCAGGCAGCCTGCTGCTAATGTCCAGTAAGGACATGCATGCCCTGCACATAGCAGAGGCACAAGAAATACTTCTTCACTTGAATGCCCCTCAAGCCAATCATCAAATCACTTGGCCTAGGACAATTAATTATTGGAAACTGTAATTGGTGGGTTTAAGGACAACTGATACTGAGAAAAGCTAGTTTTAAAATATCTCTGGGGGCAAAAACAAAAAATCCAACAAGTCCTGCATTGACAATTTAATAGTTTGGCTCTTTACTCTTTTGTGAGACTCAGAGGTGGGGTCACAGGCACATGTGTGCATGCACACACACACACACAGGCACGCACACACACACACCTCCCCAAGTAGTATGATAAGGGGACTCATTTGAAATCAATCCTATTTTGCAGAAGCTGCCACCTGTGCCTAAAAACACATCTCTAAATTCTGAAGTTAGCACCATTTCCTCATCGAAATACATACCATTTAAAATGTAAATTCATATTTCAAAAATGGAGGTAGAGGGACTTCCCTGGTGGTCCAGTGGGTAAGACAGGGGGCCCGGATTCCATCCCTGGTCAGGGGAACTAGACCCCGCATGCCACAACTAAGAGTCCGCATGCCGCAACTAAGACCTGGTGCAGCCAAAATAAATAACTAAATGTATTTTTTTAATGGAGGTAGAGTTTATATTTTAGGGTATCTTAGGCCTTGATAAATGCTGCGGCTCAAAGTAATCAGAACATATGTACCGCATGGAAAAAGTGAATTTCTCAACCAGTTGTAAAGAGCAAGGTCTGATTGCTTTCTCCAGCAGGTGTGAGAGCCAACCATCTCATTCAAGGGGTGGCAAGGTTAGAATATTTTTATTCACTTCACAGGCTGTAGAAAACAAATACATTTCTAGAAAATAAATGAGAAATATAGGGGCAATAAGGTACAATATCTTATAAAGGACACCCTAATAGAGTTCTACTTTAAAATGAGTTATACAGAACAGAGTGAGGAAGGACTTTACAATCAATGAGACCTATTTCATTTATTCTGTAAGTAACTATGATTGACACTGAATTACGAGTAAGAAATTAAGACAGGTTTAAAAGATCTGAATTCAACCTAGTGGGTATATGAGTTGGATGTTAAAATACTGAAACAATATATCAATCAAACCAAACTACTCATGGAAATTTACTTTTACACTCCATTTCCCCATAAACCAGTGCTAAATAAAAATAAAAGTAGTAGTTCCATGTGGACTATCTTATATTTGATAACCACTCCCTTTATAAAAGAAAAATATTCTGTTTGATACCAAGGACAACGTGTTGAAAGAGTGGGCTTCCCTTTGGGGTTCACTGTCTTGTACTGGCATATATAGATCCGCTGGCAGCACACATGTGGCTAATAGACCACAGTTTGTCTATCTTTGTGTGGGCGGCAGTAGGGTTGGGAGAGCTTAGCTCATGGGAAGGACTGAAATATTGAACTCAGGTGAAATGATCTGAGTACAAAAGGGAAATACAAATTCAGAAGTGAAAATTCTGTCAGTCTCTTGAAGAAAGTTCAATATACAAATACCTGAGGTGAATGCAAACTCAGTACATTTACACTTGTGAGTCCACAGAACTCCATAAACATCCACTTCCTCTGACTTTTAAATAACATTTGACAGTTTCCTATTGATGCTAAGGACACATAATGTCTTAGCATATATGATTTTTTGAGCAAGTAGAAGTTCAGATTCTGTGGTAGATCTTCACATGAATTGGGATTCTAGTGATTACTAAAAGAACTACCTTGTTAGAAATAAGCTGAGATACCCGGATTTTCCTCTCATCCTCAGTAGGTTCAAGTTTTCTCGCTGCAGAAGCCTCAACAAGAATAAAGGGAAACAAATTATAGTCTCAGTCTCCACAAATAAATAGGCTAATTTAATTGTATTCACTGCTTACATGGTCATACCACCACTTAAAGGAACTCTGACAGGACAATCTACCAAACGACAATTATTTTCATGTAGTGTGAGAATTATTTATTCACGTTGCAAAAAAGATTCACAATAGAACACTTTTATGGTGCATGATCCCTGACTTTTGGAATAAGTCACATTTTGAACATTTTTGAATAAGCAGCTCCTCCAGAAACATACCCATTACATTAAAACGTATTTATCTGTATAATAGATGCACTAAGAGTCTCGGAATTGAAATTCTATACTTTACAGAGTGCTCAAATCAAGTAGGGACTGCAACAAAAAATAACCACTAGTAGGCACTCCAAAACAATGCCTGTTCAATGTGAATGCATTTACAATTCCTAAGAACTCCTCCTTCATCCTCAATATACTCAATTTCTATGTTGTAAAAAATAAGACATCCAAATATTTATAAAGTAATGTGAGTCTATTAAGATAACATATAAGAAAAATTACTTTTTTTTCCTTCTATCACTTAACCAACAGGTAAGCCTAAAATTTATCTGGGATTGGTGTCAATTTACAGTAATTTATATACACATGGGAGTTAAAGAACCCGCACAAAGAGGTAAGTTAGTTGTACTAAAAACCAGGAATGAAATAGTCACTGAAAATAAACACTAAATGTGGCATCAATTTTAGAAATCAAGGCAAAAAATAAAATAACACAGTCCCAAAGTCTGCAGATTTATTGGTTCACCAAAGGATAGAACTTCTTCCTAGCACTAACTTCTAGGGAATTTTGTGTGTATATTTGTGTGTGTGTGTGCCTTTAAATGCCAAGTGGAATATAATGAGTGAATGAATGAATGAATGAGACTGATGGCTTGGCTGGGTGCTTGGCCTTGCAGCCTGCCTCGCAACATGGTACCCTGAGATGAGGAGGAGCAGGCTTCTGAAGTGCACAGAGAGTGAAACAGAGTTGTTCTGAGATAAAAGAATAAAGTAGAAAGTTACTTTGCCTTTTGGCCTCCTCCTCTTTCCTCTTCCAGTTCTCTATCCCGCTGGGAGGCATGTACTGTTGTAGGTAAGAGTGTGAACTTCACAGCCAGCCCCTGTGCCCAGCTGCATCACTTGCTAACTGCAGGTAAGTTACCTACCTCCTGTTTCCATATCTGAAGGACAGGGATAATAATGGTGCTTACCCATAAAGGGCTGTTGTGAAGATGAAATGACTTAACACATATCAGTGCTTAAGATGGTGCCTGGAAGCCAATAAGTTAGCTATTTTGATTGCTACTGAAGGGTCTGGGCTTCCAGAACCTCCCTCTGGGCTTGCTCCTAGTGGAGCCACAGTCCACGCTCCAGCTCTTCCCAATGGCCCTGTTCTCCACCAACACACCTCTGTTACTTAGAACAGTGTTGTCAATGCTGTCATCCATGACAACAGACAGAATGGGTGCTAATTCCCTGGGCTATTACTTTTCATCTGAGTAAGGTATGCATGGGGATCGTCTGATGATCTAAAGAGGCAATGCCAAGGGGCAGATCCTTTCCATTCATAACACTAGGCATCCTTCTTTGTGCACAGAGCCAAATGTGACTGAATATTCAACACTAGCACATTTTTCAATATAAGGAATGTGGAAATCAATTTCCATGGAGATTTTCAAACTGTTCAAATTTACCCCAAGAAAGCGTTCTACTTTTCTCCTAAAAAGGCTGAGTGTTGTACATTCCAGCTTTCCCTCCACGAACAGTTCACCCAAGTCAATTAAAAATTGGTTCCTTTTCTGCACCATCTTTAAAAGAAAACTAAATGCAACGAAGTTATCACATTAACACTATCGTTCCCCAGTTTCCGTTAACTTTCATCTGGTTTTAATAACCATTCGTCCCACGGCTATTGCCAAAAATGCTATATAGTACATGTAGTTAGAGTGAGTTAAAGCATGTTAAAATAAACTTGGTAGATTTGTAAGAATTTCATCACCTGTCCAAATAGCTGGAGATGTACAGGGTCCCTACCAGTGGAAAAAACAGCAGGACAGCTTAAAATTATAACCTGAAGATGGAGTTTTTTAGTGCAGAAAAATCTAAGTTGACGTGTACACTTAGTGGCCACATACCCTGCAGGACACAGGCCCCTGTTGTGGTCTGGCCAGTGAATGCTGCCACACTGAAAGAATAGGTAAGAATGAGTCACAAGACACTTAATCATTGTGCCCATGCTCTCCTTCTTGGGTTCTTGACCCAGTGAAGGAACTCATGACATTATCCTCCTCTTACCTGCCCTCTCAGGAGTAAAGTTTTAATTGCAGAACCCAGGACTTTGTTCCCACTTCACTCAGCGCCTCACTCAAACCAGTCGGAGAAGAAACACAAAGTATTTTTTTCTCACCTGTCCAGAACGAGGTCTGGAGCAAAGATGAGCTTGCCGGGGTGGTCGATGGAGCGCCACATCAGCCCCACCATGAGCACCTCCAACCAGCAGCTCTCCAAGAGCCGCACTTGGTCGTACAGGCTGAGCTCCACGAAGCCTGGGGAAAGCAAGAGGCCGTGAGCACACCCCACCCTCCTCCTCAGCTCCCCCGTTCCATAAAAACAGAAGAGCAATCATACAGTGGGGGGGAAAGTCAATATTTTAAAGACATTGCTAAATGCTGACAAGTGAGAAAATCTTGAACTCAAAGTGAGTACTCACTATTTTCTAGTCTCAAACCCCTTCTAGAGAGAAATGTACTTCATTCAGAATTTCTAAAGGACTGTCACCTGGGCTTATACAGCTCCCCAGACAGATGCTAGGGAAGAACAGAAAGCTGGCCCTGACCTTTGTTGGTTATATCCTAATAATCCCTCTGCACTACTGAGAAAGACAGAGCTCAGCTGCCAGTCAGAGGGGCTGCCAATCTGGCCCAGCCCGTGACTGGGGCCAGGAGGAGTGGGGGGATGGGAGAGTGGGGGTGGCGGATGGGAGGCTTGCAGAGAGAGCAGGGCCAACCCCTGCAGAAAGTCAGAGCTCCAGCTGAAAGAGTTTCTTCAATTGCTTAACATTTCCCATCTAGCGTTAGAATCATTCTGAGTAGGTGTGCTGTCTCTAAGCTACTGTACGCTGAAGAGGATAAGTAACAACTGAAACAGGTCCCTAAGGGAGGTGAGCACTTCAGAAGCAGAGATCACCGGTGCTTCCTCCGTAAGCCACCGTAAGAGGAGGAGGCAGTATAATATAAATATAGTAAATATAAACAAATGGCCTTGGAGTGCAATGCATTCTGCTTAGAACCCTGCTCGGCCTCATCCCAGCTAGTTACTTAATCTCCTATGAAGTCTTTGTTTTCTTACAGGAAAAATGGGGGCAACAAGGCCTATCTCTGAGAATTTCCGACAGCTAGGATCTCTCATCATCCTCATTTCACAGACGAGGAAACTATGGCACAGAGAACACACATGGTTCAAATCTTTGAACAATTATAACACAAATCTGCACAAAGGAGAATTTAATAGAGTAGTGAATGGAAAGATGGATAAATCCTTTCCAAAGCCACATTCTACACTCAGTTCCGGTTCCTGATATGTGTACAGGTTTCAATCTCACCCACAGTTATAGACAATAAGCCTACCCAAAGGAGATCAAACTTTTCATACTTGTAGATATTCAGCAAAACCAAGGCTAGGTGATATTCCAATTTTTTTGTTTGTTTGTTTAGACAATGACTATATTAGCTGAGAATGGGGGGGAAAAATCCCACAGCTTCAGACTATGCCTAAGCTTTCTGAAAATTTTCCAAAATACCAGGCTTGAAGAGGGACTAATGCAGCTTAAGAGTTTGGTTTTAAAGAAGCTGCACAGCTCTCAGGAGTAATTAATTTCACCACTACTCTCCACGTGGGATCTTGAAAACTAGGCTTGGAATCCACGTAGAGCAAAAGCTAGAGGAAATTGCGTCAGTATTGTCTCCTGTGGGAAAGAGCTGAGAATAAAACAGCATTCTGGCAAAGGTGAAGATGCTAGGCTATCAAAACCAAAGTGGAAAACCCGGAAATTCTCAGAAAGCTCAGAAGCAAACAAATGACCCCTATGGATACTATTACCTGAGGCTCTTACACCCAGCTGCTCTGTCACCCAGCTTCATGTCCCCTTCTCAATCTTTAAAATGTGCTTAATGCAGTTGCTGACCTCCAGGCCATGGAAATTGTCCCTAGTGGCTTAGAACTTGGAGAGATACCTCATTTCTTAGACAAATGTATAGACGTACATGGAGAAGCCCTTCCAGGGGAATGGTGGGTTGCTGTCATTCTATGTTAGAATCCTTGATTCATTCTTTCACAGAAACACCAATTCAAATAATAATTAGATGGTGACAATGCAGTATATGTTACAAACTGGTCTTGGAAAGTGGATACATTATAGGATGGAAAATGAATGTTCTAAATGACAATTTACGAATAACCAAACCCATTTTTAAGTCTATCAAGTTAAAAAGCATTCCAGGTTTATTGATGATTCATGTTACTTCTACAACTGATTTACTCTATTTATCCACATATATGTACATACCACTGATTCTTTCTCTATGGGAACAAAATTTTACAATTCCTATTTAGCATCTGAGAAACGTTTCACTTTCATACTGGTCATACTGAGCCCCACCCCTCCTCCCAAGGTGAGAAGTCCACAGCCAAGAGATGGGTTAAGGTGGAGCCCAGATCCCTTCCTTTTAGACCATGTTCCAGGTCCCAGGACCCTAGAATTTCCTGCCTAAATGGCCTCATATCCACTTCCAGAGCCTGGGTGGGTCTCTTCCCTGGGTCCTTCGTCCCAGACCAGATCTAGGCATGAGACATGGCCAACAGGCTAGTGTCTGTAGGAGATGTGGACAGGTAGGATGGGGTGTGTGCAAGGTGGTGTGGGATGGATCCAGGAGTTGGAGAAGAAGGCAGAGAGTCAGGAAGAGAAGGGGTCCACCATATACAACTCTTTCTGCACTGCCATGTCTGGTACAGAACTCAGAGGAATTCAAGAATTCTGAACTGGAACCTGGTCTTCCAGGACGTGTTGAAGGCATACATGTCAAAATAGGAAGAAAGAACATATTTCATTTAAAGGTTATAAATCAAGCTCTCAAACTGCTAAATACCCAAGACACAATGTGGACCTCCATTTTGTATTCTTGCCCCATAAATGTTAGAGGCGGCCCTTTCCACAAATAAATTTAAAGCTAAGACCCAGAAAGCCCTACCCGGAATTTTCTTGGCCCAGCCGATCATGTGTACCAGTTCCTTGTCAGCCAGCTTGGTCAGGGACATCATCATGGAGGCCTCGGTGAAGGGCGTGCTGGGGCGGCTCACGAGCACGTGGGGCGGCTCGGCCTCGAGGAGTGTGAGCACCAGCTGCTCTGGGCTCAGGGCACTCAGCAGCAGCTCCTTCACGCGGGTCACGTGCCCACCATTTTTCTTGGCTTTGCTCAGGCAGTGCAGCTGCTCATCAGAATTTCTCTGCCTTCGAACCGCGCGGTACCCACACCTTTCTCTCCGGGAACCTAAAGCAGAGAGCAGATGATATAACACACTGCTTTCCCGTCTCTTCTCCAACCCAGCAGTCAAGTTCCCCCAGTCGCCAGGGTAAAAATGAAGCAGTGATATCACTGGAAGACCTGAGTCTATTCACAGAATGTGCCTTAGAACAGGAGCCCGACTTTTATTTCTGGAGCCTGTGGGGCACGTACTAAAGATTATTATATTTGTGACTGACTGTACTGGCAAAATCAGTAATGACTTTTTAGGGACAATAGCCCAAATGATCTTTAGGTTTCCACTTCAAGGTCATCTATTCCATTTCTAAATCTAAATCCATTTCTCTTTTAAAGAGTGCTGGTATACCTCAGTTTCCAAACCATGAAATTAGGAATCTTCTTCAGGAAGAAGATAAGGAAAAGTTAGGAACTGATTATAAATAATGCACTTTTAATAATACATCCTTAAATTCTTTTGCGTGTGTGTGTGTGTGTGCGTGTCTGTGTATTCTTTTCACATACTTAACACAAATAAGTTTATTTCAAACAATAAAGTAATTGAAAAAATCTGGAAAATATAGATGAGCACAAATTTTGGCTTAAAGTCAGTTTTCTTTTAATGCTTTTACACTTTTCCATATTTTGTATACAACTTTAGGACATACATAGTGTATGTATATATGTGTGTATATATATAATTGTATAACCTCCCTTTTCTTTTTTATTAAAAATGTATCATTTTATAACAATTAAAAAATCTGTATAGCATTCTGTTCTATGAGTATAGCACCACTTATTTAAAGTGTCCCCTGTTGATGGAACTCTAGCAATTTCTTTGCTACTATATTACACATTACAATGAAAATGCATCTTTGTTCCTGTATCCAATTACTCCCTTATAATAAACAGAAAGAAGTCAAGTTGCTGAACCAAGTTGCTCGTTTAAATTAAAATTTAAAATTTTGATACATATTGATAGATTGCCCTTCAAAACTATTTTAAAATTTATAATCTAAATAATATTTTAAGGGCTACCTATTTTCTTATAACACCATTGGACATTAAAAATCATTTTTAATCTTTGCTAATCTGTCAAGTGACTAAACAGTCTCATTTTACTTTGTATTTTTTCAATTACTAGCAAGGTTGACTAAAATGTTTGCCCTTCATTTTCTCTTACTTATATATTGCCTATTTGCTTCTTTTGCTCTTTATCTCCTTAATTACCTACAAAGGCTCTTTATATAGGAATGATAACTTTTGTTGTATTCAATATTTGTCTTAGCTGTTAATATATCTTTTAACTCTGCTCATGGTGACTTCTGTCATAAGAAGATTTAGTACATAGTCACATCTGTCTTTTTGTTTCGCATAAAGATTACACAAATATTCTCCTATATCTTTTTAAAACACTTTTGTGGTTCAAACATATTTGAAATTTTATGTATGCTTCTATTATGCCATATTGATATTTCATGTTATGGTTTTCCAAATGGATGTACAACTTTCCACATACCATTTATTAAATAAGCTTTTCCCATTGATTTTTATAAAATGCCTTGTCATTTAATAAATAATTGTGTATAAAAGTATCTTCTTCCAGATTTTCTACACTTTTTCATAGATATATTTTTCTATTCCTGTGCTGGTACCAAAACGTTTCAGTTACTGTAAGTTTATATAGCAGAACACAATGGGATAATGTCTTTAAGAAAGAAGCTTTCAGGCTCCCCTGGTGGCTCAGTGGTTAAGAATCCACCTGCCAATGCAGGGGACATGGGTTCAAGCCCTAGTCCAGGAGGATCCCACGTGCCGCAGAGCAACTAAGCCCGTGTGCCACAACTACTGGGCCTGCGCTCTAGAGCCCATGAGCCACAACTACCGATGCCTGTGAGCCACAACTACTGACCCCGTGAGCCACAACTACTGAAGCCCATGTGCCTAGAGCCCGTGCTCCACAACAAGAGAAGCCACCACAATGAGAAGCCCGGGCACCACAACGAAGAGTAGCCCCCGCTCGCCACAACTAGAGAAAGCCCACGCGCAGCAACAAAGACCCAACTAGCCAAAATTAAATTACTTAAAATAAATAAATTTTAAAAAAAAAGAAAGAAGCTTTCAATTCAGAATTATATTCCCAGCTAATCTATCATTCAAGAGTGAGGATAAATTAAAGGTATTTTCAGTTTAAAAAGATTGGGAACATATATCACTCACAGCCCCTTTGAAATAAATACTATGTTCTTTGGGATGGAGAAAAATGAACCTGAAGGAAGCAAAGAAAGTCAAGAAGCAGTGGTAAGAAAATAAACTGGTAAATATGTGAGTAAATCTGAAAAACACTGAATAAAATAATAATAATTTTTCGAGGTACAGAAACAAGGTAGAACCAAAATACCAGACAATAACATATAAGATGAGAGAGGAATAATTTTGACTAGAACATTCGAAAATTTTTTATTTAGGAAGAGAGATATCTATTAGAATGGCTTGATTCTAAAATTAATCAGGAATGCATGCTAAAAATAGAAATAGTGTCACTAAAAGAATTAAAACAGAATGTATGATTTCCAAACTGGCAGAAGAGAAAAAAGAAACCAGGAAAATATGACCAACTCCAAAAATGAAAAAAAGTAGAAAATATGTAATTTTTTTGAAAAGCACAAAATAAGATGATAGAAATGAACCCAAATACTAACGATCACAATAAACATAAACAGACTAAATTAATCAATTAAGAGCAACTCTGAGATCAGACATATTTTTTAATCTAGACATAGACTGGTTATAAGGAATACATCTAACATGCAGAAAAACTGAAAGTAAAGGGGTAGAAGAAGATACAATGGCAAAAATTAACCAAATAAATTGGAGTCACTATCAATATCAGACAAAATAAACTTAAAGGCAAAAATCATTATTAAGGTCTCATAAGTAGATTATAAAAGGAAGGTAAATAATTCTAAGCTCATATACATCAAAACAACAACAAGAAAACACAGCCTACAAACAAAATGCCAAAAAGTGATTGAAAGAAAAAGAGAAATTGACAAATACACTAATATCAATATAATGGGATGTTTTACTGTATCTCTCTCAGAAACTAACAAAATAGATGGGGAAAAAGAATACAGAACATTTGAACTGCACAATTAAGAAGCTTGAGCTATAAAAGCTCATGGAATTTGCAAAAATTATCACATAACAAGTCATTAATAAAACTTTAACTAAAACTGATATCATATAGATCATATTCTCTGACAATAAAAATAGAAATCAGTAACAAAAATATAACTTCCAAAGTCCTATGAACACAAAATATTTCTAAATATTCATTGGTTAAAGACAAAAATGTAAGATGGAATTAAAAAAGACGTAAGTCGGGCTTCCCTGGTTGCGCAGTGGTTGAGAGTCCGCCTGCCGATGCAGGGGACAACGGGTTCATGCCCCGGTCCGGGAAGATCCCACATGCCGCAGAGCGGCTAGGCCCGTGAGCCATGACCGCTGAGCCTGCGCGTCCGGAGCCTGTGCTCCGCAACGGGAGAAGCCACAACAGTGAGAGGCCCGCGTACCACACACAAAAAAAGACATAAGTCAAGATGTTGTTAGCATGGGCACAACATTTATATGAATCTTCCCTAAAAAAAATCTAAAAGTTAAAATCAGAATGCCTAGTTTCTATACTCCCACCATTGTGTTTGTTCACGAAATTCAATTGTCCACATTTATACAAAGAAATATTAGTTAGGAGGTATGAGCAAATTTAAATTATTTGCTTTCAAGAAAATTTATCTGAATTTCCCTTATCCTTGGCTAACTGCAGTAGAAGAAAGGGCTCTATTCATCTAGGGATAACTGAATCAAAATTTTCATGAAAAGAATTAAAAGCCTAAAATATAATTCATTTTATTAGTAATCAGATAAAGTGCTATTATTATTTACATTATATATAATATTATAATTATATTATTAAAGGTCGATTATACCTCCAGGGTAAAATGGGACAAAATGTATGGTTAAGAAAGTATCTTTCTGATCACACATTTCTCTTTTGTGGAGTATATGAGGATAAGGAGTTTACAAAACAGATTTCCATACAAAGTAAAAGGTTTTGATTCCACACATTCAAATTTATTTGACCAAATTTCCCCAACAAAGTTCTATGTACTAGACCCTGTTCTAAGTTGGGATCAATAAAATAAAGCCCCTAGAATCTATTGATAGAGTTCCTAGTTTTAACTGGTAAACCAAGTTGTACTGTATACACTGGAATAAAATGAAATTGAGAAGGTCAAAAAATAAAGTCATTGACAAAGAACTCACATTTTTCTACCAAGGACATTCCTAGTGTTATGGCTTTGACACCGTAATCCAAGCAGTCACTCAGTGTGCCTCTGAGTGAGCTTAATGAGAAAGTACCAAATAGGAGTGCTCCATATTAGAAAGTGCCCCAGCGAAAAGATGATGACAACAACAACCATGGTAAATGATGATCGTGACAACTAATATCTACTGGAAGCTTCCGTATGCCAGACATTGTGTATTATTGTATATAGATTATCCCAGCCTGACAACCACCTTAGAGAAAAGGTGCTATTACTATCTCCAACATACAGGGGAGGATCCAGGCACAAGAGAGCTCAAGTAACTTGCCCAAGGTAGAAAAGCTAGAAAATAGCAGAAGCAGGATCTAAAACCAATCAGTGTTCTGAATGCAGAGCTGGTGCTTTTAACAACAATTTTATATCACCTCCCTATCAAATTACTTTCAAGTGTCTACACAGCGGGTGAATAAAGAGATGGCATCTGAGAGATGCCGAGCTATTGTCCCAACACAGGGTTCTAGATCAGGTATACAGTTATTCAGGTCGGTTTCCTGCCTATTTGCATTTCAGTGTATTCTTATAATGAAGCCTTGTCCCTGAAGCTAGTCTGGGTGGGTACCCTCCTACCATTGAAACAACGATATTAATACCTCAGCAGAAAGGACTGGAAATGCAGAAGAAAAAGGTGATGACAAAAGGGACAGGATTTCTGAGTAAAACAGGGAAGTGGAATTATGCAGGAGGATCCAGAATGCAGGGAGAATCCCTAATCCTCTAAGATTGGATAGAAGGAAGAATCTAGATCAAGGGTTTTCTCAGGAAGACAGACGAGAAGAGGGCTGGGAAAGGAGGGAGGCACAGTTAAGAAAATTCATTCCTAATCGTCTTTTCCCGTGGTCAGTAAAGGGCCAAAATATCCATCTGTTTGCACATCAATCCATCTCATTCCTTCTGTAATCTAAGATAATGAAATATTTTTTCTAAGCCCTATACAGTGACTTTTTGGTCAAATTCAATGACCTTTTCCAGGAAAAATTCAGGAACATCTCTGAACTCTGCTTTCTGAAACTGTATTGTATCAAAACTCCTACCTTATATGAGCCTTTCAACAAGGGAGAAAGGAAGGAAAAGCAAAATTTAACGCCAGGCACTGTGTTAGGTCTTTATTCCTCACAAAACTCAATGAAGCAGATACCTCTGTTTCAGAGATAAGGAAACCGAGGGCCAGAAAGGTTAGGTCGTTTAAGCATAGTCACCGTTAGCAAGAAGTAATGAGACAAAAAAAAATGAGATTCCATCTGTGTGTCGGGGGGGTCCAGTCCTGCTGTTCTTCTCACCGCATACACTGTCCCCTACAGCTGGAGTGTATGTGCTACTGCCCTGGTCCCAAACCAGGAGAACCACAGCCACTAACAGACTCTAGTACATTAAAAGCGTTTCTAACCTAAGGCTAAATTGGAAATCTTTTTTTTTTTTAAGTATACAATTTAAAATATCGTTTTACTTAAAACATGATATATTTATTTGCAGTCTTTGGTCAGAGGGCCAAGGATTTCTCTTTAAGCACCTCTGCCAATTTAATCACAAGTTACCTTGTCTCTGGATTTTCAGTTTCAGCTTCTTTAAAACACAGCAAGAACTTAGGCGCTCCTAAAGCAATCTGAATGCAGACTCTTTATAGGTGTATAAATGGTTTTGCCCCAATCTCACCCATACCTAACCCAATAGCTATTAGTCCTTTACAGTTTTATTCAAAGCTTTCACAGGAACAACTATCTTTTCCTACTCATATTTCATATGTTTGCATAAAGTTTAATTAAATTATATGATTTAACAACTACAACGAGTAGAAACAGGTTGGGAAGAAGCCCATTGGTTACTGATAAGGATATAACTGAAGCGGCATTTATGAAAGTAACCAATACCCACTGGGAGGTCATGGGCATTGGCAGGATATTTTACAGAGGAAATGGAGAACACAAGTGATTTTAGGAAGCCAGAGAACTGTGATTAAATTAAGAGAACTTCTGCTCTAATTCTGAACTAGGGGAGGGAACAGGGAATGTTCAAGGGGCAGAGCTACTAAGAGACTGTCAGGGAGAAAAGAGAGGACTTTTTTTTTTAATTTTTCAAATAGTTACAAAGAGAGAAATAACAACAAACCACTGCTAAAATACTGGCTGGCAGAAGAATAAGAAAAGTACAGGCAGAGCTGATATGACTGTATATAAACAAGCAAGTATGTACAAGTGAATCAAGTTAGCCAGGTGGAGACAGTGCAGCGTAAGCATCGTCGTCAGTTGTTATGCTAACGTTCTCATTTCTCTTTGTTTTTTCATGTATGTATATGTGTGTGTTCACATATATATGCACACATACTGTCTTAGAACAAAATCCATACTCTATGTGCTTTCCATAGGTCTATCATGTTTCTGACTCCTATGCATATTTTTTCCACTTCTAGAAAGTTAAATGGAGGGACAGGCACGAGTCATCCCAAGTAGTCCACAAGATAGTCAACTTTCTTGTCAGAGCTTTAACCGAGAACATTTACCTGAACTTCATCCTTAGACTTTTCAAGGCCTCAGGCAGATGGTCATCCAGCCCATTTGAGCACCTCAGTGGCTAGAGTTCTCTAATTCATACAGCAGCCTATTCTGTGGTCAGACCACTTGAACTGTAGAAAGTTCTTCCCTACATTGGGCCAAAATCTGCCTCTTACAGCTTGCTCCTGTTCACCCCAGCTCTGTCCTCTGCAGCTTTAGAGAATAAGTCAACACCCCTGCAATGGGACAGCATACACACACCTGAAGATAATTACCATGTTCTAAATCTCCTCTCATCCAGGCTACATGTCTCCAGGTCCTCAAACTGTCCCCAGTTTGACACGGCTCTCAGCATGTCCCACATATCACAGAAGGGGAAGGGAACACTCACCACACTTCACCATTCCGACTTCATAGCACTTCCGAAGTCGGCAGGCCTGGCAGCTTTTACGCCGGTTCTTGTCTATTGTACACTGATTTGTAGCTGGACAAATATAATCATTATGTCCTACAGCAGAGCAAAAAAAACAAAAAAAACAAAAAAAAAAGGAAGTTTATTGTTATAATATTTTGGCTAAATCTCTTCCTGGTCAACAACACAACTAACGCTACCCAGCTGAGAGATAGGAAACATCTTCTTAACCACAGGTACAGGTATAAAAACCAAGTTCAGCCTCATCAGTGCCTCGTTCGTGAGTAAAGGAAACCTAAGAATATTTCAATATCCTACCCTTTTGAATAGGTTATTCTCTGCATGTTCTTAGAATTCTGAAGAGATACATTTAGAAATAGTCTCCTCTAGACATGGAAAGTGAGACAGTCACCTGAAATTGATTTGCTCCAAGTCACAGGACTCCTTGAGAGTAACACTTGTATCAGGTCACCAAATTCAACTGCTTGTACTCTTTTACATACATTCCTCCGTGGTATTTAACATGTTATTTTAATAGGAATTCACAGCTAAATAAGAGAACTACACTGGTCAATAAGAGAATATAGAAATCATCAAACAAAACAAGGACAGAAAGGACTGCCACTTGATAATGGTTGTGGTGGGTTAAATTATCGTTTTTAATTCTTCACTCCCTCCCTCGGCCTGTGACATTACAGTGTATTACAGCAGGCAGAGCACACCTCCTCACCAACTCACGTCGGGCTTGGCCGTGGGACTTGCCAATGGTATGGAAGTAGATGTGATACTCCAAAAGTTTGGCTTGGCCTCTTGAGTGCCCATGAGAAGAAAATGTCTAGGGTAGCCACTGGTCCAAGGAGAATGGGGAGACGTGTGGTGCAGACCAGAACTCAACCCAAAGCCCAGAGCCAAGCCTTATGAAGTAGAGCCACCCTAAACAACTCACAGACCCATAAATGAAAAAATAATGCCCACTGTAGTAATCTACAGCCTAAATAGAGTTGTATAGCAATATCTGACTAAGACAATGGTACTTCTTTTATGTAAAGAAGAAACAAGAAAATTTCCATTTCAAAAAGCAGCACTGGGACTTCCCTGGTGGAGTAGTGGTTAAGAATCTGCCTGCCAATGCAGGGGACACAGGTTCGATCCCTAGTCTGGGAAGATCCCACATGCTGCAGGGCAACTAAGCCCGCACGCCACAACTACTGAGCCCATGCGCCGCAACTACTGAAGCCCACGTGCCTAGAGCCCGTGCTCCGCAACAAGAGAAGCAGCCGCAATGGGAAGCCCGCGCACTGCAACGAAGTGCAGCCCCTGCTGGCCACAACTAAAGAAAGCCCACGTTCAGCAATGAAGACCCAATGCAGCCAAAGAAAAACAAAAAATAAAAACACCAAAAGCATTACTTCAGATGCTGTATGGAAAACAGATTAGAGGCAGCAAGATTGATGAAGGCCAGGAGACCAAGCAAGAACCCACTGTTGCTGTGCAAACCAGAAAGGAGGCTGCCTGCCTGGATTGGTAATAGTAGGGAGGATGAAGATAAATACAGAGACCTGAAAGAGTTAAGGAACAGAAATTATAATAAAATATATAAAAAGTAGAAGTGAACAGGGTATTATGGTGCCTTTATTTCTTAATTGAGTCTTTCAATAGGGCCTGAACTTCTTACGATAAAACCTATAACGGCCCATAATTTCAATGTGGAAAATGGATGAATCTCAATGATAAACTAAATAGGCAAGTCATAAAAGAAGTCACAAAAGAACATAAAGGAGAGGATTCCATTTATATAAAGTTCAAAAATAGAAAAAACTATATTGTTTAGGGTTACATGCACAGGCAATAAAAACATGGCAAGGAAGGCAGAAGTTAGAACTGTCTCACCTCTGTAGGGGGAGAAGGTGCTGTAACTAAAAGGACCACCCAGAGGGTTTGTTTCTGGAGATATCCTATTTCATGGCCTGGGCACTAGTCACACAGGAGGTTGCTCTTTACTTCTTTTCTAAACTGAATATAAATATGAAATTTTATATATTTTATACATTATATATCTTTTATATGTGTGTGTGTGTGTGTGTGTATATATATATATATATATATAATATTTATATATACTAGAACAAATACTCTATCCTCTGAGACAGACTGGAAGCAGAGATATCCCAACAGCAATGAGTAAACTAACACCCAGATCTTGGTTTATGAATATCATTCTCCACTCATAGGAAACTGGGAACCTTGGAGAAACAGTTTATTCCAGCTTATCCCACTGGGGCAGGGAAAGTACAAGATAAGCCTGAAACATCTTGTTGTGCCAGGAAGTAAAGAAGGGTCTACAGTGTTAGGGGCACATGTCAAAAAAGATACAGAAGCCAGTTTAAGGGAACACTACTGGCCAAATCTGGGATAATTTGGACACCCAAATAAATATATATACTGGAATAAATATATTCCCTAACTCTATCCCCCGAGAGAGCATGGAAGCAGGGACATCACTAGCCTCACAGACATCACCTTAACCAAATATTCAAAGTGTACATCACTAGTATTGGGACAAATTGAAATCAGGCACTACACGAAAGGAGCCAGTCAGAAGAATATAGCATCATTTCTGTGATATTGCAATAGGCCAATAATGTGTAAGCTGAATCTAATGATGAGGAACCAACACACAAACCCACAGTGAGGAGCATTCTGCAAAATAACTGGCCTATAAGATTCCAAATTGTCAAGATCATGAAAACCAAGGAACAACTGAGGAACTGTTCTGGACAGAGAGAGAAAGGCTAAAGACCTAACAACTAAATGCAAACTGTGATTCTAAACTGGATCCTCTTGCTGGTAGAGGGCACTGTTAGGACAACTGGGAAAACTGGAACAAGTCTAAACATTAAATGGTAATAATGTATCAATGCTAATTTCCCAATTTGACACTGTTAGGCACTGTTAGGACAACTGTTAGAGGGCACTGTTAGGACAACTGGGAATAGAGGGCACTGTTAGGACAACTGGGAAAACTGGAACAAGTCTAAACATTAAATGGTAATAATGTATCAATGCTAATTTCCCAATTTGACACTGTTAGGCACTGTTAGGACAACTGTTAGAGGGCACTGTTAGGACAACTGGGAAAACTGGAACAAGTCTAAACATTAGATGGTAATAATGTATCAATGCTAATTTCCCAATTTGACCCTTGTGACTCTACCGGAATACATGTTAAGTGTTCGGAGGTGACGGGGCATAATGTTGGCAACTCATAATTTCAGGAAAAAACGTTCTTTATATTGCATATGCACATTTTCTGTAAGTTGGAGACTCATTTTAAAAATGCTGTTAGCTACTCAAACAATAAACGAATTCACACAAATATAGACACATACAAATAAATATGCAAATACAGATAAATTGAAATTTATCTATATTTCAAATGTTAATGTTTTAAGCTGTGAAATTAACTTTCCTTTTTCCAACTCACCAGATTTTAAAGAACACTTCAAAAAGCTATGGTTCCATGACTGAACCATAATTAAATTTTATAATCCTCTCCCCTTTTAGATAGATTCCAGTAACATCTGTTCAACAAAACACAAATTGAAATTCAGTTGTTTGTGGCTCTACCATCACACTCTGCATCGGCCTGGGTACCAGCAAAGGTGCCCTAGAGATGCAAAAACCACTCTCTCAAGTGACCCTCCATCCTGGCCATGTACAGGAAGCAACGTCTTCCTAGCCTGACACACCAACATTCCTGATGTCCTACTGATTTCCGGGTAGTTTTCATCAGCATTTCATTTAGTCCTATAACTTCCCTTATAAAGAGTTATAATCCCCATTTTACAAATGAAAACACTTAAGCTCAGTTCAATAACCTCCTTAAAGTTATTGTTTTAGTTTTCCATGCCACATAATAAATTTCTACAAACTTAAAAGCTTAAAATCAAACAAATTTATTATCTCATAGTTTCTGCAAATAAAGAGTGCAGACGCAGCTTACTCTACTCAGGGTCCCAACAAGGCTGCAGCCAACGTATTGACTGGGCTGTGGGCTCATCTGAAGCTCAGGGTCCTCTTTCAAGCTCATTTAAGTTGTTGACAGAATCAATTCCTTGCAGTTGTAGGACCGAGATTCCCATTTTCTTGCTAGTTATAGGCTGGACACTGCTCTCAGCTCCTAGAGGCACCTGCAGTTCCTTGCCCAGAAGCAGCTCACAACATGTTTGCTTCCTTCCAGGCCAGGAGAAGCACATCTTTCTGACTTCCAGTTTCTCCACAGTCTGCTATGATGGAGTCTTATATAATCACAAGAAACTAATCACAAGAGACTATCCCAACACCATTTGCCATAAAATGTAACCTAACCAAGGGAGTGACTCTGTCTTCATATTTACAGGTTCCATACACACTCAAGAATAGGTGGTAATATAAGGCGTGCTATAAAAAAAATTTAAAGGAACAGATAATTATCTTGTTATTGCTTTTATCCTCACTTATAATATACAAAAATAAATTTTAAAAGCCAAAATATATTTCTAATCAGAAACTTTCTATTGTACTTTAGAATATAATGCTTTATACTTAGAAGATAAATGTAATCCCACAGCACTTTCCATAGCAGAAGCAATCTTTTAAGTATCTTCTAAAACCTCTAAGAACTATATATGATGTCATCCTTATTGGTTTTATAAGGAGGTTCATAACAATAAGCATTTAAGGGACAAGTAGAGGTTGGCTTTTATTTTTCTCTCAGAGTTTACTGTAAAAGATCATTTTACTTTTAAAAAAGGATCCGAAAGCACAATAATATGAACATGCTCAATAAAACAGCCTAGAAAATGTCTTATGCAAGAAGGTCATGGTAATTCACTTCATTTCTGACAAAAAGAAAAAAGTCCTCTTTGAACTGCACCAAACACCCCATGTATTAAAATGGCTTTCTTGTTCCATGCAACAGTCTGCTACTCCACACTAACAGAACTAAGAGAAAAGTTCAAAGCAAAATTAAAGGCAAAATATGAAGCTAATTCTTTTAGTTAAGATATAAAACTTTATAGGAAAATATGCTTTTTATAATACAAAACATAAAAGGTTATCTTTGTTCTCTGCAAAATTACTGAGACTGTCTGAATATGTATTATCATTCATATCCAACTGCATGGAGGGAAGAGACAGCACTGGACTTGAAATCAGAAGAACTGACTTTAATATCAGCTCAGCCTCCCGGTTTTCTTATTTTAAAAACAGAGCAATTAGGGACTTCCCTAGTGGCGCAGCAGTTAAGAATCTGCCTGCCAATGCAGGGAACACAGGTTCGAGCCCTGGTCCAGGAGGATCTCACATGCCGTGGAGCAACAAAGCCCGTGCACCACAACTACTGAGCCCGTGTGCCACAACTGCTGAAGCCCGTGTGCCTAGAGCCCCGTGATCCGCAACAGAGAGAAGTCACAGCAATGAGAAGCCCACGCACCACAACAAAGAGCAGCCCCCACTCGTCACAACTAGAGAAAGCCCGCACACAGCAACAAAGACCCAATGCAGCCAATAAATAAATATTTTTTAAATAAAATAAAATAATGTAGCTCTTTAAAAAAAAGAAAAAAACAGAGCAATTATTACCCATACCCTCCCTGGCACTCTTATACTTCAATAACAAGCATCTACCTTGTTGTTTCTTCCCTCAGGATATCCTTCTTGAGTTCAAGACCAAATAAGTCCCAAGTAATGGAATATATGCCTTGAAGGTAAGAATCTTTTACACAACCTATGGGCTGCTACAGCTTCCCATTTAAAGCTTAGCCTATAATGTCTTAAGAAATAAAGAGTTAAAGATTCATGAGCAGCAGTCAAATGGATTTTAACTTTCAAATGACAATGATAAAAGTTATTATAAATACCAAAATGAAAGTGCATAGTAGAGTATAGTAGTATCATTACTATGATATGTGGATATAAAATAAATAGCCAGAAGGATGAACTTTATGGAAATAACATGAAGAAATGGGCCAAATACATATCAAAAAAACCCCCAAATTTTATGAGATGTAAAAGACCTAAATAAATGGAGTCAATGTGTTTCCTGATGTGAAGACTATTACAGAGCTTCCTTTAAAAATAATTCTTAGGTTTAATAAAATATCCACTTTTCTTAACATTAAGGATGGGAGGTCACTTAATAAAATTATTTTAATGTTCCTGTGGACAAATAAACATGAGAAAATAGCCAGGACATTTTTAATATAGGAGGAATTTATACTGGCATGTATTAAAATTCATTATAAAACTATAATACTTAAAATAATGTGGTACTTATACAAGAATGAAGAGACAGATCAACAGAACAGTCAGACTAAACACTAGTATATATAGAACTTAATATATATCGTATACATAGAAAAAAATTGATGAACACAAGAAAAGGTGCTCAAAATTGTCAGTAATCAGAAAATGCAAAATAAAACCACAGTGAGATAGAACTACATACCAATATAAATGGAATGGCTAAACTTTAAAAGACTGACAATATCAAGTTTTGATAAGGACATGGAGCAACTGGAACTCTCATACATTGCTGTTGAGAATACAAAATGGTTCAACCACTTTGGAAAACAGTTTGTTAGTTTCTTATAAAGCTAAACATACGTTAGCTTATCATACAACCAGCCATTTTACTCATAGATATTTACCCAAAAGAAACAAAAAGATGTCTACACTGAGAGATATGCATAAATGTTCATAGCAGTTTTACTTAAAATAGCACAAAACTAGAAACAACTCAAATGAACAAATAAACAAAATGGGGCACACCTACTGGAATATTAGTAACAAAAAGGAATGAACTACTAATGCATCCAACAACACAGATAAATCTTAAAAGCAACATGATAAGTGAAAGAAACCATACATAAATGGTTACATACTTTAAGATTTATGACATTCTAGAAAAGGCAAAACTATAGGGACAGAAAATAGATCAAGAGTCACCAGAGCCTGGGAGGTTGGGGTGAAATTGGCTACAATGGGCATGAAGGAATATTTTGCGGTTATAGTAATGCTCCATATCTTAATTATGGTGGTGGTTACATGACTACATGTATTTTCAAAATTCATAAAACTATAAAAATAAAATAGGGAAATTTTACTGTATGTAAATTATATCTCAAACAAAAAATTAAGCTCCTATATTCAAAAAACAACAATGAAAATGGATTTATTCAATAAAACAATGTGGATAAAATTGACAACTTATGAAAATATATTTGATTCTTATTTCATTCAACATACCAAAAAAATTGAGTAGCCACTTTCAGTTATTGCAATGCATTTATACCAGAGGGCACCAAAAATATGAAGAGTCCAAAGAAATAATCATTTAGGCATGAAGCAATTGTAAGAGCACTAACTCTTTCCCATTTGCACTTTTAGGATATGACACTCCTTTTCCCTTTCCCAGCAGTTCCTCTGTGGATGCAGTAGGAAAGAATGACATGGGGAAAGCATAGGAAACTTACGTTTTATTGTTTTCAGCTACAGTCTCAGGGTTCATGAAGTATCATGAAAGATATTCCATGCAGAGATTTTTCCCAAACAGCAAATAAGAATTCTCTGTTTTAAGGATGTAGTTAGTTGTTTTGGGTCAAAATTTCCTTAGGAGATAAAATTCTAGAACCTCAACAAGATAGAGAATTGTCATCATATCAAGAGTTTGGTTCTGAATTTCAGAAAACCTGAATTGTTCTTATCATATATCGCAGGAAACTGGACCTGGCCTTATAACCCTCTAGTACAATGATCATAAACAAAAAATTTTAAGCACTGAATATGTTAAACATAGAATGAAAAGCTCTGTGTATGCAAAAGCAAAAATAAGCAACCGTGATTTATGTTTTGATAATATTTGATGACATCAGCTTCCTTTGTGCTGTTTTTCCTTTCGGTAAGAAAAGTTTGGAAATGGCAGAGGGCCCTCATCCACCTAACTATGAAGATTTTGGAGGAGGAAGGTTTAAATGAGATTAGGATTCGAAGAGAAATACAAGGAAGAAAGAAAAGACATTGATATCTAAACTGAAAACAGAAGAGTTAAAAGAAAAACTAGAATAACTTGAATTTGCAGGTTGTTTATAACTGACCAAATATTTTCACATAAGCAACCTCATTTCCTTTTTAGAACAACTCTGTATCTCCATTACACAGACGAGCAAACAGGCTGGGAAGCCACAGAGCTACTAAGTGGAGGGTCCAGGATAAACAGGTGGTCATCTATGAAGGGTGAATTTCAGGGGACTCAGAGGAAGGTGATTCCTTATCTACCAACATTCTACCCCTCACCTCCCTCTGGATTACATCAGCTTCTCTGCTCGAGGTAAAATGCTCTCTTAATGTAGAGTTATCATTGGGTGAATTAACTCAGTAAATTACCACTTGCCACTTGCACACTATGAGTTGCTTTAAGGTTGCTTTCCTTAACCGGATAAGAACAAGGCACTGAGGCCTTGGCAGAAAAGGGAAGGGAGCTCTAAGATGGGAACATAGGACATTGTCTGGAAGTAGGGCTGGCAAGGGAGGGGTTAAGGGGCAGAGAGACAGCCAAGAGCACGAGTAAGCAGGAAAGTGCCTTCAGCAAATTAGGGCCAACAAGGACATGTGTGGTAAGGGGCTGACTGGCCTTGAAACCAGGTGTGCACAGTTTGAAACTGATTAAAAAGGCCACTAAAACAAACAAACAAACAAAAACCCAGCCCAGCAGAAATTTGGAGAAGGGTAGGGAAATAGTCTAAACCCAGACCAGGAAACGGGATTGTGAAGGAGGTTCCACTAGTTCAGGGCAAGACATGCCTCTAGATAAATTCTCAGAGACCACTGGAGTTGAACTACTGACTTCTGATCATTTCCGTAAAACATGTTTATTCTCTCTTCCTCGGGAGACAGCCCACCATCATGACTGTTACTTATGCCAGATATTAAACATAAGACAAAGGAAGAAACAATCTTTGCAGTTCCTAACGAGCACACATTTTTTTTTGCAAGCTTTATCTTCACAAGGGTTGTAGGCAGACGTCTTCTCCCAAGAAGATGGCGATGGGTGATGATGGGGTGAGACCCATTTGGGTTCTGGGGTAGAGATCTGCAATGAAAGATAAAGTACTCTACACTTGAAACAATCCACCCCACCCGCAAACACACATGATCCTCTGAACTGCTCATCAAGTACTCTGTGTACAAAGCAGGCCAAAGGTGAAATTTCTGCCAGGTCATCTGAAAACTTGTTTAAAAGCAAAAGTGGAAAACTACAGAAGCAGCTAACAATACTCTTGTACCTTGAATGCTTCTTTTAAAAAAGGCCTTACATCCTTCACACGACCAGACTCCATAGTGATATCCTGATGCATAATCGCTGCAGACCGCACAGAAGTGGGCATCCCTCTTTGAACTTGGACTAGTAACAGGGCTGGCACAACTGCTTCCACTAGCCTTCCTTTTCAATGTCTCTCTAGGGGCAAAGAAAACATTCATTGTAAAAGAGCATTAAAGATAAAACAGGGCCTTTCTAGAAAAACGAACAGCATGAACATTGCCTAATTTATCTCTTTGCCCTCAAGGGTTCGTGATAAATATATTCCAAGAAATCTGATCAAGCAAAACCGTTGTTACTGATATCAGATCTATGAAGAGTCACCCTGTTGGGATGACTGATGCCCGAACGTGGTTAAGCAAGTTTATGCCCATCCATGCAGTGCTGATGAGCACCAGTAACCATGGATGGCCAGCTGTAGCCATCAGGGTGTACAACTTTGAGTGTAATAAGTGACCAGATCCAGTCTGGGTGGAAATGGTGGGGAGAAGAAAAGGGGAGAGAGGAAGAAGAGAGAAGAGAAGGGGAGAGCGTGAACATGTACCTGTCCTCTGAGAAGGCTTTGGAGGAAGGTGTTCAATGCTGGGTAGAGGGAGGACCAGGGCTTCCACAGAGGAAGGGACAGCCCACAAGGGAGCACCAACAGGCACCAAAAACACCTGGTTAGTTCCTAATTTTGCTACGGCATGTTTCTTTTTGGAAAGGAAATAGTAGAAGTACGATTATTTATAAATTAAGGTAATTATACTATGGTTTAATTTACCCAAATATTAGCAGAACTCTGATTAGAACTTGTGCTCAGAAACAAAATATTTCTTCCTTTAAACCCTGAATGAGAAAACATTATTTTTTAAAAGTTATCTATAATTTTCATATTCTCTTTTACCAACAAACAAGAAGTATTTTTTTAAAGAAGAAAAATAAAATTACTGTGTAATACGGCTTTCTCAAAGTTTTATGATATTTGAAAGTAATACATTTCAATATCAAATATGCTGTAACTTAGTACTTTGGTTGTTTTGGAAATTTATCTCCCCTTCATGCTTCTCCCTATACTACCTCTGCTCTCTGTAGCCATAATTATCATTAAAAAGATCTGGGTTTGATCCCTGGTCAGGGAACTAAGATCCCACAAGCCACGCAGAGAAGCCAAAAAAAAAAACATTACAAATTGAATGGAAATAACCCATTATATTACCTTGCCCTTAGAGTTTAAGAAAGTTCAACTAAAGTCCACATTTAAATAGTTTCCCATCAATCTTTATAAAATGTTATTATTGGGCTTCCCTGGTGGCGCAGTGGTTGAGAGTCCACCTGCCGATGCAGGGGACACGGGTCCATGCCCCGGTCCGGGAAGATCCCACATGCCGTGGAGCGGCTGGGCCCGTGAGCCTTGGCCACTGAGCCTGCGCGTCCGGAGCCTGTGCTCCGCAACGGGAGAGGCCAGTACAGTGAGAGGCCCGCGTACCGCAAAAAAAAAAAAAAAAAAAAGTTATTATTTTAGTTCATTGCTTAAAAGCTTGTACCAATGTTTGTCTGTCTTTTCAGGCTTCACCTGTCTAGTATTTCATTAAGTTGTAATACCGACAGTTACTTTTATCTTGGACACAATTTGTCATGAACACTAAATTGTGATTTCACTGCAAGATAAGAAGGATCTAACTTGAAAGTAAAAATTTCTTTTTCAAACCCAAATCACTTCATCAAGAAGAAAGTGATTTAAGTTAAATCTTTAGTTTCTAAAGACAGTAGTGAATTCTCCCCCAAAGCACAGATCTGTAAGCTCAACTTTTTAGTAAGAACTAGAATATCAGATTAGATATTCTAGAATTCAGAATTCTAGAATTCAGAATATCAGATGTTTTAGGTGCTCTATTTGATCTATGTAATAATGAAGACCTTGTATAACACATATCTTTCTTTTCACTAAATCGTAAAGCAATCTGAATAATGGCCATGAACTACAATTCAGAATGAAGACTGGATTTACCTGTTCCCAGGTAAGGTGTGTTCTAATGATCTCGTTTCACACCAAGGACTCTTTTGAGGTTCTGCATACAGAAGTGACGACTGGCAATGGATGGCTAAAGGAGAGAGGTGCCCAGGAGCTGGCCACAATACATTTGGGCTTGTGGTCTGTCGACCAGGCCCACCTTCCGAGTTATTGGGAATACTGTAATTCATCACGGCAGGGCTATAGAATGTCATGGCTGAATATTCATGGTGGCTCTCTACATAGGAGGAAGGTATATATATAGGGCCTGGCTCCAGGGGTAGGATGGATTGACTGCAGTTGTAGGAGACAGGAGAGTTAAGGCTAGATGGTGAGTTTTTGATATCCATGTCTTGAATAGGTAACATCTAGGAAAACTCCTTGTGAGAAGAGGCACAAAGGGACATTATAATGTTCTCAAAGAATCATAGACAGGTATGGCTGTGAAGAAAAAAAAAAGACATTTCTAAGTTACAGATACAAGCATACTATTAAAAAGGTTGACATATTTTTATTAAACACACACACACACACACACACACACACACACACACACACTTGTATGGGCCTAGAAATACATCCTGAAAAATATACACAAAAATATTAACCTCAGAGGGGTAGGAAGGTAAAGCATGGAACTTATTTTCTACTTCATTCACTTCCATAATGCTTTTGTTGTTAACCATGATAATTTTTTTACCATGAGAATTTAATATAAAGTGCTTTTAAAACTTAAAAAACACAGGGAGTTCCATGGTTGCCCAGTGGTTAGAATTCTGGACATTCACTGCTGTGGCCTGGGTTCAATCCCTAACTGAGATCCCACAAGCCACATGGCATGGCAAAAAATAACTAAATAAAAATTAAAAATAAAAAACACAGGATTAAATCGAAATGCCATGCCAACCAGTTTTCTTTCTTTTTTTTTTTTTTTGAACTAGATAAGTTCCTTTTTAAATTTTTACAGAAAAATAAGCAGGAAAACCCTGAAAGAGCAGATCAATGAGCAGGACTAGCAATAACAGATCTTCAAACACACTATGAATAGCCAATATATTGCCTTTCACCTAATACACCCTTCAGTATATGTTCTATAGCAATGGAATTCCTTAAGCATTTAAACTGAGCCCAGTGCTAAGCTTTCGCAGTTGAGGCACTGCAGGGACACTGCAGGAGGAAGAGGCCACAGTGATTTCTGGCAGGGGCAGAGGCTGGCAGTGTGGGTGTGAGAACATCCAGTGGAGCCTGTGCCAGCCATAAGTCCAGAATGAGGTCCCACTGCAAACTTGTAGCCCTGGCATGGCGAGAACCTTTCTGCAATCACCTGTTAAGACTATGGCCTGAGGAGTTACACAGAAGTTGTTCCTTGTACAAGTTTCATCACAAGCACATGCACACTCTGAAGGTCTTCTGCCCCCACAGGTACCTGGACTCCCAGGGCATGCCCACACCACCAGCTGCTGATCACCTGCTCCCCACCTGCAACTCCAGACCACTTTCGTCCAGCTACACAGTTAACATTTCTGCTAATTAGTGGCCAAACCATTTTTTTCCAAGGAGGTCTGAATCCCCCAAGTTTGTCCATCTTTGGGTAGTCTACCTCAGCTCCATGTAGAGTTTCTTATATCTTATACTTAATCTCTCATCATAGTTGGTAATTCTTACATTAGACTTCCCCTGTTGAACCTACTGTGTACTTTCTATCTCCTGACTGGACCCAGACTGCTATGCAATAGAACAGAAAATCCTAAAACAGCAAATTCAAAAACTCAAGGGATTTCCCTGGTGGTCCAGTGGTTAAGAATCTGCCTTCCAATGCAGGGAACGCAGGTTCAATCCCTAGTTGGGGAAGTAAGATTCCACATGCTGCGGGGCAACTAAGCCCATGCGCCACAACTACTGAGACCGTGCGCTCTGGAGCCCACTCGCCACAACTAGAGAGAAGCCCGTGCACCACAATGAAAGATCCCGCGTGCCGCAACTAAGACCTGATAGAGCCAAAAATAATAATAAATAAATATAAAAAAAAGTCAAAAGTTTTTGGAAATTTGTCATAGGATAAAGGTGGTATCTCAAATCTCTAGGAAAACATTGGACAACAGAATTATCATTGGGAAAAGAATGTATGCCAGAATAAACTCCAAATGTTAAAGACCTGAATGTTGAGAGAACTGGAAAGAGGAAGGAGAGAGAGGAGGAGAGGAGAAGGGGTAAGACAGGAATGGGGGAGGAACAGGGGCTGCACAGGTACTAGAAGCAAATGTAGATAAATCCCATTATAACATGGGTGTGGGGACAATCTTCTTAACTATGACTCAAAATCCAGATGCAATTTTAAAATGTACATAAAAGTACATAAACTCATGAAAGTAAATATCTGCATATCATAAAAACACCGTAAGTCAAAAGAGTAAATGACAAATTGGAAAAAAATACTCCCAACTTATATCAGAAACAAAGGGCTAACTTCTCTGGTATATAGCGAGAACGCTTAAATTAAGATGGAAAAAAACCCCAAAATATTCATTAGAAAAATAGGCAAAAAACACAAACAGAACACAGGAAAAGGAAGGCAAATGGCTCTTAAAACACATTAAAATATGTTCAACCTTGTTCAATAAAGAGATACAAATTAAACTGTACCAAGATACCATTTCTCACTTATGTTTGCCAAAAACTCAATTTTTTTTTTAGCTCTTTTTTTTTTGCAGTACGCGGGCCTCTCACTGTTGTGGCCTCTCCCGTTGTGGAGCACAGGCTCCGGACGCGCAAGCTCAGCGGCCATGGCTCACGGGCCCAGCCGCTCTGCAGCATGTGGGATCTTCCCGGACCAGGGCACGAACCCGTGTCCCCTGCATCTGCAGGCGGACTCTCAACCACTGCGCCACCAGGGAAACCCAAAAAATTCAAATGTTTGACAACAGACTCTCTTGGAAAGGTTATGGAAAAAACATGGACTTGCTCCTACGTTGCTGGTGAGAGTGCAAAATGGCACAACTTCCATGGGGATTTGGCAATAAATAGCAAAATTACATATGCTTTTTACCCTTTGGACTATGAGTCCATAGTGATGTTCAAAAAAAGAGGAAAAGAAAAAGAGAATCATCTGCTACCACTGTATCAGTTCCTCGCTCTGAAAATTAGTAATTAGGGGAAAAGAATTAAACCTGTACTCTGCCTTTTTAAGAGAACCCGTAGTTTATCCCAACGTAGAGGGAAAACCCTTCTTTACCAAAGAATGACACTCAATAAATAGTTCAGAAGAATATTCAGATGGATAGACAGATAGGTAGATACATACATAGATACATAGGTAGAGCAAATAAGTCAAATTGTCAGCAATTACTGAATCTAGATGGTAAACATACGGACATTATATTAGTCTTTCAACTTTTCTATAACTTTGAAATTTTTCCTGATAAGAAGCTTTGAAGGAAAACAAACAAAATAAGAAATTAAAAATGGAAACCTTTTTTAAAAAAGTTAAAATATATGGAATAATATAATTTGGGGAAGGGAACAATGACCATTAATAATGAGACTGTTTGAGAGAGATCATTAAGAATCTAGCCTGGAGAAGTTCTCCATCTTCAATATTTTCTGCTCCAGCTGTCACCTACTTCCATATGTAAGCAACTTGGCTCTCTAAAGCTCCCAATTCCTTTCTCCTGACATTTTCCTTGGAATGCTCATTCCATTTGTCCTCAAAACACAATATATCTATGATGTTTTTTTAAAATGTCCATAAATTCTTCAATACTCTTCCCTTCAAAAGGTGGTGCCTAACCTCCCCCTTGAATATGGGCTAGATATAGTGACTCCCTTCTAATGAATAAATTATGGCAGAAGGATGGCATGTACTTCTATGACTAGGTTATAAAAGGCATTGCAGCCTCTTCCTGGCTTGCTCTCTTAGATCACTCACTCTGGGGAAAGCCAGCTGCCATATTGTGAGGACACTCAAGTAGCCCCACGGTGGCCTCCTGCCAGCAGCCAGCAAGGAACTACAGTGAAAGAGAGATTTTGGAAGCAGATCCTCCAGCCCCAGTCGAGTTTTCAGATGACTGTAGCCCTGGCCAACATCTAAGCTAAGCTGCTTCTGGATTCCTCTCAGAAACTGTGTGAGATAATGTTTGTTGTCTTAAGCTGCTAAATTCTATGACAATTTGTTACAGAGCACTAGATAATATAATATCCAAGGCAAAATTCACCATTTTCCTCCCCCAAACCACTCATTTCCTATTTGTGTTAATGGCAAAGGCTATTACAGTTATCTCTGACTTATCCCCTTCATCCAGCTACCTTTCATCACCAAGGCACATTCGTTTTTTCTCTCCATGGTGCCTTTCTCCATGGTTATGTCTTTCGCCAACCTTGGAGCAAGCTCTTGTTACTTCTTATCTGTGCACCTTAAATAGTCTCCTTACTGCTCCTTGCCTCCAGTTAGCTCTTTCTCCAGGGCCACAGAGCAGCCAGATTAACATTCTTAAAAACCCAGCTCTGAGCAGCCCCCTGCTTCCCACCAGCCTCTTAATAAGTCATGCTCTTTTAACATTCAAGGCATTCCACTATGTTGTCCCAATTCATCATTCCACTCTAATCTCCTGATATTTTCCTACAGAAAACATGCCATGTTCATAAGAAATATGCAAAGTGCATTGTGAAGCAGTTGGCGTTTCATGCCTTATCACTTTTTTCACTCTAGCACCCCTATAGTAACTTACATAGAAATTTAACCCTCCTTATTAGAAGAGAACTACACCAAATCCTTTTTGGAAATGGTAAAGGTGGGGTGGGAGAGTAAGAAGTAAGTACAGTTAGATTTTAAGCTCCTGAAGGCACACACTGTATTTTATTCACCTTCCACTACAATGCAATAAATGTTTGTTGTAAGAAAAGAATATGAAGAAATGTGTTGAAAATATATGATTTCATCCAGTATAGAGTATGAATCAAAGATGGAGCACTTGCAGTAGCCATGGTACTGAGCTGAGACAGGGGATCTAAAGGAGTTTCAAGACATGCACTCTGCCTTCAGGGAGCCACTATGCCCAGTAAATGAGGCAGGCAGACCAGGTAAAATAACAAGGAATGAATACAAAGGTGCTACCACTTCCAATCAACATTGGTTGTCCACAAGGGACAGGAGAGAGAATGGTAGCTGGAAACGAATATAAGATCAAGGAAGTTTCAAAAAAAAATATGCATTTACTAATCATGAGGACAGGATTCCATATTTCAACTACTTATTCCCAATCAATATATACAATCCCTGATTCCTAATAGAAAATATGCAGGATAAAGCATATAATGCTAACTAGCAATTTCCAAACTTTTTTAAGAAGTTGTAGTAAAATACACATAATAAAGTTTACCATATTAACCATG